ATACATTGAAGACGGTAAATATCATCTAAACTAAATTTCAATACATGTAAATATGTCTAGAACAACAAATTATATTGTTCATGCTCATTTTAATGGAGACACATATTTCTCTGAAAATTCCAGTTTTGGGTTTCAAAATACTGATGTTACCCGATTAACAATGAGCAGAAAATCAATTTTTTTTTTTGCATTTCAAAGAGCGAATAGAGTCAAATATTTTGCCTGGTCCAATCTCTCAAATCATATACAGAAGTCCTGTTTTCTTTGAAAACAATCAGGTCAAGTATTTTCAACAGAATATACAGGACGATAACGATGTTCAACAAATGTTTGATAGTCATGAACACTCTGGGTTCGACTATATCGAGTTGTATCTATTACTCTGCCAGACTAAAAAATCCCAAATGTTTGGTGAATCTTAGGTAATATATCAGTCACAGTCATTGGAACAAGATGAAGTTGATGTTGTGGACGAGGAGGAAGAAGAACTTGAGGCCATGGTTGATCAAATGGTGAATTTGTTCGGGACTGGGGACTACACTGCAATAACTCCACTTGATCAAATAGATGAAGAGACATTACCATTAAGTCATATGTATTGTCCTCCCTAACACATGACTAACTCGCAATTGAGTGGAAATGATACTTCCTCAGATTTGTTCTACAATCCTTCTCAACAAATCAAAGATGTATTGAAAGTGGAGAACCAGTACCGCACAAAAGCAGAGTGCATGAAAGCTATAATAAAGTTTCACATGGATAACTTTGTTGATTTTTAAGTAAACTGGAATGACTCAAAATGCTATGTCGTAAAGAACATTGCAAGTTTCGTTTAGCAGCGTCCTATCGGAAAAGAAGTGATTGTTGGGATATAGGTTCGATTGATCCACCTCATAGTTGCACAACCAACATCAATCGGCAAGACCATGCTAAACAAAGCTCCCAATTAATATGCCAAGAGATTTTGCATCTTGTGGGCGTAAATCCATCTGTGAAGGTGAGCACAATTATATCTCATGTTGTTGCACGGTTCAACTATACCCCATTGTACAGGAAATCTTGGATTGGAAGAATAAAAGCGGTTGAACATGTATATGGGAATTGGTAAAAATCTTACAATCAACTTCCACAGTATTTGCTAGCACTTCAAAAATATGTTCCTGGTATGGTTGTAATATTGGAGTCACTTCCAGCATACATTCCTGAAGGAACATGTGTTGATGGAAGTAGGATATTCTCTCGTCTCTTTTGGGCATTTCAATCGTGTATCAAAGGTTTTGCATTCTGCAAACCGGTTATTCAAGTCGATGGAACATGGTTGTATGGGAAATACAAAGGAACATTGCCGATGGCGGTTGCACAAGACGAAAATAATAATATATTTCCCATTGTCATTGCTCCAGTTGAGGAGGAGGCAGGTGAAGCTTGCAGTTTCTTCCTCAGAAATCTCAGAACACATGCCACTCCTCAACCCAACTTATGTCTGATTTTCGACAGACATGCCTTTATTGTGAGCGCCTACAACAATCCTGCTAATAGTTGGCACAATCCTCCTTCTGTCCATGCCTACTACATAAGACACATTGTTCAGAGTTTTATGTCTCCGTAAAAAAGTTGTGAACGTTGGGTATGCCTTAAACCAACCATCGTTCATGTATTACCGCGAAGAAATAAGATTGTCAATCGCAAAAGCATTAAGCTGGGTGGATAACATTCCAGTCGAGAAATGGATAAGGGCTTTTGATGGAGGATGCCGATGGGGTCACATGACCACAAACCTTGTGGAATCTCTAAACGGCGTATTTAAGGGAACTAGAAACCTCCCCACCACTGCGTTGGTAAGAGCAACCTATTATAGATTGGGGTCACTTTTTGCGGCAAGAGGCAAAAAAATGGAGCGTTGTTTTGGAATTAGGGCAAATATTCAGCGAATCATGTATGAAATATATGAAGGATGAAACTGCTAAGGCGACCTCACATCGAGTTAGAGCATTTGATCGTTACGATTACAAATTCATTATTGACAAGACAAAAGACCACAATGAGGGTCGGCCAATGGGACACTACAGAGTAGAAATTCGTAAAAATTGGTGCGATTGCGGAAAGTTTCAAACCTTCCGCATACCTTGCTCACATGTCATTGCCGCATGTTCCAATGTTCGTCATGATCCATTATTGTAACTATCAGAAGTTTACAAGGTCGTGAAATTATTCGGTATCTACAATAACAGTTTTTCAGTGGTAGCTAGTGAGGACTATTGGTCAACCTATCATGGAGACACAATTTACCACAATGAAAATACGAGAAGAAACAAAAAGGCCGCCCCAAAAACACGTGAATTAGAACTGAAATGAATACAACTGAGAAAATGGAAAGATTGTGCGGAATATGTCGTCTTCCCGGGCATACGAGGAAACATTGTCCAAATGTTGGAACAAGTTCTAGATAGATTTACTTTGGTCATTAAAAAATGTGTAACCTTGGAATTTAATATTTATAATAACTTTTGTTTACCACAAAAACAAATTGAAATACTTCTAAAGCAACAACGTAAATCATTAAAAATATAAGGATTATTACAACATAAACTAAGATATAACAACAATCAAAGTAATATCATCAGTTCCGAAATCCATAGACCTAACTTTGTTGTCATCTTTAATTCGCATTCACTCCTGCCGTATATTTCCATCTGCAATCGAGAAGTACGAAATAAGTCTTTCAATACTTCTAACCAACTATTCAAATTTCTTCGTAGTTGCTCTAAACTCTGGATGTTCCAAAACAACATCCTTATCGGAGGCTTGGTTCTTAAGAAAATGACATGCCCATATCTTCTAAGATACATGATTTACTCTGCTAAATTTGTAAGAAACAATGTTAATTTAAGAGTGAAAGAATATACAACCCTCATCTATTTATACAAGAAATTTTTTAAATAAAATAATAATAAATATTATAAACATATAATATATAATTTATTAATAATTAAATAAATTTAACGAAATAAGGGGGCTCCAAAAGGGACGGCGCCTTCTCTTATTCGTTTAAAGGTGACTGTATCATGGATGACGTCCCTCTTATTATTATAAGAGTGATTTCATGGGGAATGACTCCCCCATTTATAATTATAAGGGTAACTCCGTTGGAGATGTCACCTCCCGTATAAGATTTTTTTTTGGTTTGAAACGTGGGTAGAATAGAAAATAATTTGAAAGATTGAGTATATTGATAAATATTAGGATGAAATATAAGTATGTGGGTAAAAAATTCGCATTATTGAGATGTGTATTGTAAACCTTCAAAGAGTTACATTGAGATAGAAAATAACTCACACACCATTGAGTGATCTAGATTAAGACATACTGTGGAAAGATTCTGGTCAGCTGCATCACACATGAACAATAAGATAAGGACATGTATATATGATATAAAATTTAATTAAAGACTTTGTAAATCAATGTACCGCTCAATGAAGTCTTTGATCTCCTTCATCTCTCTATGGATTATCAATATCAATTTTGTTCCGCTCCAAAAATTTGATATAATTAACTCATATTGTCCTTAAAACTAAAATGGTTAGTGATAAATCTATATCTTAACTCATAGTAACGCATATAAGGGGAATCCAATGGGTATCTTATTTAAAAAATTATATAAAAATATTATAAGATAAGAACAAACTAGGTCAAAAGAACTGTGCCAAAAAAAAACATCAACATCAATTAATCATTATAATTATATTATCTCATATAGTATATGATTGAAATTAAAAGTCAACACCCTCACAAATCATTACTTTTTCAATCTTTTCAATTATTACCGTACATCGTTTTCTTCCCTTCTTTACAAAGATAATTTAGATATTGTATTTTTCAAAATAATTTCTCTATTTAGAAATTTTTTAAAACAATTAATTTTAAAATAATTTAATAATTGTGTAATTACAATTTACTTTTAAAAAAAATGACTTTAATTTTAATCATTTATAAAATAATATTGTAATCGTAATAAATAATAATTAATCACTTATAATTATATTCTCTACTTAATATCAATTTATTATCTTTTACTAAAACGTCATTTGGAATAATAAAAATATTTTCATTTATTCTAGTAGAAAAATAAATTACTAAAATAAAAAAAATACATTTTTTTAAACTTTTGCTATTCATTGATTAATAGGTAATTTTGAAGAAAAAAAGCAAAAGTAATTAACATGTGAATATTTCTTCTTTTAAAAAATATATTATTATATTTCATCAATCACAAAATATTCATGTATTTACTTAGTTTTAATTTATATTCAATGAATATACTTTTCCTTCTTAATTATTTTATGACATGATATATATACCTTCTTATTACTATTATAAATAAATTTAAATTTTTTACTTTATTCAAGGATCAATTTTATTTATAGTAATTTTGAAAGAATATTCTTTTTCTAGATACAAATTGTTTTTAATATAAATTAATATTTATAAGCTTAACAAACAATGGGCTGATTCAGTTTTATTTTTCTCTTCCAATTTTCATTAATTAAATCATTATTGTTTTTTGAGTTCATTAATAAACATTTAGTTCATTAAAAAAGGTAGATTGATTAACTGATTATTAAAAATTAGTGTACCACAATAAAATACACCTCATGGTAAGTTATAATCCAACAAATCATTTTCTGTATACAACTTGTTAACAAATCTTGTTCTCCATCTTTATCCTTAAACCCAATTAACTAACATTGACCCTTTCTTTATAATCTTGCTTTCCCTTAATCTCATCATTTAATCAATTCTCAAATTGAAATCAACACTCATTCAAAAAACGACAAAATCTTCTCTTTGAATTCTCCATCAATTTCAGATCCTCTAGTTGTTAACACAACACAATCAAAGAAGGAAAAAAAAAGTTATAAAGGGAAAAACGGTGTCGTATAGAGGGGAAAAAAAGCTTATAACGCGAGAAACGGTGTCGTATAGAGGAACATTGAAGAGAAATGAGGTGTAAGAAACACTTACCGGATATTTCCAGCACCGTCGGCGTTTGCGCCTCTTGCCTCCGTGAGCGCCTCCTAAAAGTCGTCGAGAGTGAGGCGCAACCGTCACGTGTCTCTGTCTCCGAAACAAAACCGCCGTTGCAGCCTATTTTTCCACAGTCGGTTTCTCCGTTCGTTGCGCACCGGAAATCAGATGATCGACGGCAGGAGGTTTTGTTTCAGAGCACACCGCATGGTGATCGTAGATTATCCGCCGCGTGTGACGGAGCTGCAAAGCAATCTTCGAAGAGAAGGATAAGGAGATTCTGGATTCTGTCAGATTTGTACCGTCCAAGATCTAGTAAGACGGATAATTCGTCTGGTGAATCGTGTGAAGCGTCGTCTTCCGTTTCTCCTCGTTCGTTGACGTGGCTATCGATGATCCTCCCTGGCCGACGGCAAAACAACCGCGTTAGAGATCAACGGAGGTGCCGTGAATTGGACCGCGGAGCAACACCGGTGGATAATTTCGAAGGACGGGATCAATCGGAATTAGAAACCTCGTTGGAATCTTCGCCTTATAGAAATAAGACGACGGCGCCGGTTACTGCGCGGCGGTCACGGCTAGGTTACGCGGGAAAGAGCTTAGCGAACATGGCACTGTGTTTGAGTCCGATGGTTCGGGCGAGTCCGAACCGGAACTGGAGTAACCATAACCATAAGGGGTTTTCTCAGGAATTGGGTGTGGGTGGGGTGCAGCATGTATCAACTACAGCCTCATTTTGCACCAATCGATCAAAGAAGCTTGTTGATTTGGGAAGAGTCACTCAAAATCACAAACGTTGATTTTACTTACCGTTAATGTCATTTTACCGTGGTAATTATTTTTTTATTTGTTTCAAAAAGTTTATTCAATGTATTGTATTGTACATTCTAAACTCAAGAAATTGAATTTTTATAAGTATCATTGACAATGAGGTGCAAATTCATTTTAATATGATTAATGGAGTATGATATAAAAAAGTGTTATTGTAACAATTAACTTGGCTAATTGAATAGACTTAGATGAGAAGAATCTACATAAGATAATTAATTTTAGTTATTGAATTGAGATCAGACAATTTAGATTCAACATTCAATTTTTGTAGTTGAATGATCTCGATTATTGACTTCATTATGTGATAGCATTAACATTGCGTCCAATTTAAACCAACGAATTCGAATTTCATGAAACTTCAAAGAATTCTTCTATTGGTGAGTGCGACATTATTAGAACCCTATAAATATATGACTCTTCTACCTATTAGATTTGAAGTCGACTTGATAGTGTTGATTTATTTAACTTGTTGGCTGTTACGGTTTGTTGCAAACTTGCAAAATGTGTTTGAAGTTTGATATCACTCTCATGATTTTGCAGTTTTTTTTTTTTGGTTTCAGAAATTGTAACATCATTCCATTCAATCGTTACATTTTAAATTTTAAAGAAAACATGATTTTTGTCATTTTCCTCATGTTTGGATAAAAACAACTTTCATCTAATAAAAAAATGTGTTAGCACTATATTACAAAATTATTTTCTTTAATTTATATATTTAAGCAATATCTCTATATCATTTAGTAATACTGTCAAGTTTTATGATGACTTAAATTTGCAATTATAATTTAAGGTGAATCTGATATGAACCTCTAAAATTATTATAGTAACTTTTTAAAATTAAAATTTAATAAAATAGTAATTTTCATTCGTGGATCTTATCTATATTAGATAATTTATTCTTTGATTTTCTTTAATGTAAAAAAGAAATCATTATGTAATTAATTTTTGAAAAAAAAAATCATATTTAAAATCAGATATAACTTACTATAAATACCATGAATAAATTGTTTACTTAAATATAAATAGATTTTGACTTAAATAGCACATCTGAATTTACCATAAATATATTTTGACTTAAATAGCGCGTGTTATAAATAAAATTCAAGCATACAATATCTCTAAAAGAAAATTCATTTCATGATTTTGCAAATCTACTACTTAAAATTTTATATCTTTTTTAATATCATTTATGGTGTTTTTTTCTTTCTAAAAGCAATTGGAAATAAGAAATATACGGGGTATTCAATCTATTATAACACTAAAAAACCATTCAGAAAAAAAATTCCAACTAACACAAAATTTATCTTAAGAACCTTAAATGATCCATACAAAAAGTTTGAAAATTAGAGTAGGAATAAGAAATTTCACCTAAGCAAAATCATTTTCAAACAAACATCATCGATATTAAAAATATTATTGTTGAAAATTAGTTTGTTTCTGGCCCTCCAAAGGCTCCAAACAACTGTCAACCATATAGATCCAAATTTCAAGCTATCATCTCAGTTGATAGCCAATTCACATCAATCCATAAAGAAGTTCCAAAAACTTCTTGCATAAGCACGGGCACAACCGCACCAATCTCCCACCTTATCCCAAACAGCCAAAACAAATGGGCATTCGAAGAAAGAATGTTGTAGATCTTCTTCCAAAACAAGACAGAAAACACATGGTAAAACTCTCTTCGATAGTTGGTCCTTCGTAGCAAGTCTAATCCAAAACAGTCTCCAACCAAAGTTTAAAACTCTTGCCGGAACTTTGATCTTCTAAAGGGATACAAATGCTTTGGCTTGATCAATTAGCAGTAGTCTCTGCTCTCGATATTCCAACATAAAATGATAAGCCATCGTCACATTATAAACTGAGTAGTTCTCAATCTTTCATCGGATTCCGTCTTTCATCCTAAAAGAAGGCGAAGACACCTCTAAAAGATTCTTCAACTCCAGAAACCTTGCCGAGGCAGAATCCTAGACCGACTGGGGGATTTCCAGATCTCCCAAATACTACCCATCGCTCTAATAACCCAAAGAGATCATTGAGGCATCTTTTTTGCCGTTCCTAACATATAAATCTTCAAACAACTTTGCAATTGGAGAAGAACAAAGCCAAGGGACTGACCAGAAAGGAATGGAATTTCCATCTCCTAGCTTAAAACGGATTGTACCTGCAAAACAAAAACCCAAATTAGAATTATCAGCTCCAATCTTGATCAAACCCTTCCACCAAGTAGAATTCGAAACCCTTAATGTAGGCTTGTCCAACATAACTTGATTCTCAATAAATCCATATATCACTTTGAGACCTTCCTTCCAAAAAGACTTTGTATCGTCTACAATCTTCTCTTTTCCATTTTGACAAGAGAGTGAGATTGAACTCCTTCATACTCTTAATATGGAGACCTCCCTTTTCCTTCGGCCAACACACCAGTTCCCACTTTAACCAATGAATTTTAGACTTTTCTTTAAAGCCTCCCCGAAGGAAACGATTCCTGATTTTATCAATAGCTTTCAAGAAAGTGGCATGAGATTTATAAAAAGAAAACCAGAATATAGGCAGACTCATCAACACAAAATTGATTAGAGTGATTCTTCCCGCCATAGATAAAAATTTACCTCTTCAAAAATCCAGCTTAGATCTAATGATCCAAATAATTAATCCATATATGATTACATCGTTTAATAGCATTCTTGTGGGAAAATGGTTTTGAAGGTGTGAGACTAATAGAAATAAGTTGTGGTTTAAGATTGTCTTGTAAATATGAATTGGTAGAGGGTGAGGTAGATATAGGCGTTACTCTAGTTACTGGAGGAACATTCATCAAGTGGATGTGGGAGTCAAAGGTGCGAGAGAATATGAGTCTCAAACATTGGATTGGATTTGTCCAAATCTAATGTTGGGATTTCTAATAATCAATACTTTATTAAACCATACTAAATTCAAGATGAAATAGAAAGTGAAAACGTATCTTTAAGATCCATGTAATTTCAATGAGAAGATGATGAACTTGATAGAGCAATGACCTTCGAATTGTATATAATTTAATTCCTTAGTTCTTATTTCAATCGGATAAAGAGAATAAATATTTTGTAATATTTTTAGATGTCTATAATCGGGAATCATAACCCTTTATTTATAAGAATCTTATGTCTTTTCATGAAAAGTCATGTTTATTTAAGTCTAGAATTTCATGCCCTTTCATGAAGAATCATGATTATTCATGTTTTCTAATTCCAATTTTTACCCATCACAAATTAGAAATAAGACTTTTGATATCTACACAATATTATTCATGACAATTATATCCTTAGTTATTAACCATACATTAAATATATCACTTTAATTTAAATAATCAAATAATGGTCCTAAAACATTAATTTATTACATGTATGACCCAAAAAAAATTCTAACAATTTCCCACTTGTCATTTATGAATTCTTATAAATGTGTTATACTTTATGAGCTCAAAGTTTTTCCATTATAAATATTGATATCATTATCTTATCCATTAGTTACATCAATATATAAGACCAAACCGATTTTCACTATATCAATCATAATTAAACCCATCAACGATCACAAATATAAACACAACTAAATAACATAGATCAATCCTGCAATGTGCAGCATGAAAATTACATGAAGGTGATCATTACGTGTCAATTTTCAACTGGTCCTCCCTACTTTGATGGGATCAATCATGAAATGTACAAGTTCAAAATTTTCAATTCCGAGGAAAGCACAGAACAACATGTCGTCGAAACCTGAAATGAAGAAAATGTCAGAAGGTCAATAAGGTAAAGGAGTTTGCCTCAGAGACTCCAAGATTGTGAGTTGTTTAGAGACAACGAAGTCAATAATGATGGTGATTTCTTCCATTTTTCACTTATGGCCGAATTTGATCTCATTAATACACAAGAGGCCTTAAGTCATCCAAAGTAGATTTGTTCTATGAAGGAGGAGCTAGAATCCATTGAGAAGAACAATACTTGGGAGTTAGTTGGTCTACCAAAAGGAAAGAAGTCAATTGGTGTGAAGTGGGTATTCAAAGTGAAGGCAAATCTCAAGGGTGAAAGAATCAAGCATAAGACTTGATTAGTGGCTAAGCGATTTTTGCAAAGAGAAGGCATAGACCTTGAGGAGGTTTTTGCATTGGTTGATAGGATTGAAACCATTAGGCTTGTTGTTGGTATTGAAAATAACCATTGAATTATCTATCAAATGGATGTCAAATCCGTGTATTTGAACGAACCGCTTGAGGGGGAGGTATATGTAGAACATTCCCCTGACTTTGTTGTGAAAGACCAAGAGCTAAAGTTCTACAAGTTGAATAAAGAACTATATGGTTTGAAGCAAGCTCCAAGAGCTTGGAATAAAATAATTTATGGCTTTCTAAAGGATATTGGCTTTAAGAAATGTGTATTTGAGCATGAAGTGTATGTGAAAACGGATGTAAGTGAAAGAGTTATTATCCTTTGTTTATATGTGGACGATTTATTAATCACAGGCAGCAACGGAAAGTGTATTTTAAAGTTCAAGAGTGAACTTATGTAAGAGTTTGAGATGACCGACATTGATCTCATGACATACTTCCCTGGTATTGAGTTTTACTAGTCCAAAATGGGGCTACTCATGCACCAAAAGAGATATGCTCTTGAGATATTGAAAAAGTTTGAAATTGAGCATTCCAATGTTACCATTTCACCGGCTGAACCAAGGCCGCAGTTTTCTAAGAATGAGGATGAGCAAGATGTTGATCCAACTCAACATAGGAGGTTGATTGGATCCTTGCGCTATTTATGAAATATGCTATCGAACTTGACGTTTAATGTCGGTATTGTGAGTATATTCATGGCGAGACCGAAGGTGTCTCACTTAGCAGTAGTCAAGAGAATCCTATGTTATGTTAAATGTTCTATTGGCTGCGGAATTCTCTTTTCCACAGTGGATACAGGCAAAAAAAATGAAATTTTCT